GCTCCCGGCGCGGAGCCCGCACGGCACGACGCGCACACGCGCTGCGGCGACCCCGCCGGCCCGGATCCCCCAGTGTCCACGTGGGTTCTGGGTCCCCCTCACTGCCCAGTGCCCGTGGCCGACTCGGGACCACCCCACTGCCTCAGTACAACACGGGCAAGCGATGCTGCACAAGGGCTCTGTAAATAGCCAGGCGCGCTGGCACCTGCCTGTAGGCCCAGCACTCAGGGAGGCTGAGGCAGGAAGATCACAAGTTCAAGCCCAGTCTGGGCAACTTAGTGATTTAATGAGACCCTGTCTAGAAAAAAAAGGGCAGGGGATATAGATCATTGTGAAGGCTGAGTTCAACTTTCAGTACTGAAAAAAAAAAAAAATTCCTCTAAATCGGCATTGGAATTCTAAGTGCCTTGATCTTGTATCAAGAAAATCAGATGGGTGCAGTGGTGCATGTCTGTAATCCTAACATTTGGGAGGCGGAGGCAGGAGGATTACTGTAAGTTTGAGGCCAGCCTGGGCTACATACTGAACATGGGCAGCCTGAACTGCATAGCAAGATTTTGTCTCAACCCATGCCCCCTGCAAAAAAAAAAAAAAAAAAATCAATAAGATAGGATCCCCCCTTTTTTTTTGTTTGTCTTTTTGAGACAGGGTGTCGCAGTGCAGGGTGGGCTTAAACTCACTTTGTATCCCAGGGTGGCTTCAGACTTACAGCTGTCCTTCCTGCGTCAGCCTCCCAAATGCTGGTATTGGTCCGACTTTAAAAGGCTCATAATTACCAGTCACAGTGGCACATGCCTGTAATCCCAGCACTCAGGAGGCTGAGGCAGGAGGATCGCTGTGCGTCTGAGGCCAGCCTAGGCCACAAAGTGAGTTCAAGGCCAGCCTGAACTGCATCGTGAGACCCTGTCTCAGAAAAACAAAACGAAAGGCTCACTGCCTCCTGTAAGTGCTGCCTACCGGGGAGGCCACCGCACTGCAGCGCAGAATGGCTCTGCGGAGAGGGCTGAGGAGCCCACGGAAGCTCTCCCACAGCAGCGTGCGGCCCGTGAGCACGTGGACGTCGTTTTGAGAGTTCGTAGTTCAGCATCGCTGGCGTGTGCAACGGCGCATTTACCTTACCGGAAGCG